TGGGTTTCGGACTCATTTCTATGTTCATGATCGTTTACAGGTACTTATTGTGGTGGGACTATAACTTATGGACAAACCAATCGGATCTAAGATAGCCAGTCTTAAGTTCATTCATGCACATTGCTAAATAGTAATTTGGCATTATATATTATGTCAGTTCGGCTAAAACGGAAATAATCTTACAAATGGGTTTAATGAAATTATCATTAAATTGTATTGATTAACAAAGTAATTATAATGAACAAGTCTATTATACTTTGCTTATAAAATCTAGGTGAGTGTTGGCATCATATAAACTCTGATTAGAGAATCAAGGAAATATTATAAAACCATGATGACTAAATAGTGAACAGAAAAAAACTCAAGTAAAGAAAATAAAGTTTATCATAGCCAACGTATGAAGAGAATTGTATTAGAAGTTTAAGTCTTTGAATCTGATGTTTACGTTACCATGCTGAAGCAATGAATTTCTTCCGACTCTAAAGTCACACAAGAGCTAAGGGCCTTTAACCTGATTAAACATGGAGTTATGAGTACTGACTATTGAAAATCCCTAACTAGTTTGAAACGGTTATCAAGTGAGTTTCTGGCTTTCAATGTTTCTCAAGTTGATGACAGTCTCTGGTGGAAACTAGCTTGAAATACAAGAAAATAATAGTATAACATTATGCAATAATAGTAACATGTTTATTTTAAATTCACTTTGGCTTTTATGAAGAAGCTATCCAGGATGAAATTTCAATGTTTCAAAACATTGAAATTTCGAATATTTACTTATCACGAATGTAAATTTTTTCAAATAAGCTTGGTGTTATATCAACTTCAGTACGTAAAAAGAAAGAAGTATGACAGGATTTGGTTATGGCTGAGGAGTTTATGGAAGCAGATTTGTTTGAATATAACTAAAACGTTATACTTAGTTGATAACATTTTTATCAAGGCTATTAAGCGATTAATCTATTAATTTGTGTCTAGTCAAATGCAATTTCTCAAATATTCATTCTTTAGCAATGAAATAAAAACATATTTTTATTACTTAGTTGTCTGCTGGTCAAGTGTAAGGGAAGTCAAATTATCAAACATACCAAGCAACAGGATCTGTTTACATTAAGTTAACCAGGTTTAATCAAATAAACTGATTATAATTTTACTTTCCAATCCAAAACGTCACACTGCCCTCCAGGTATTGCTACAAATCAACAATCAATATCAGAATGTTTAAATAGTGACCTTATCTAGGCGAGTGATGCAAAATACTTAGGTTTTTCAAGATTCTATTTTCAATTTCTTTGAAACTATTTGTCAAACTAATTCTCACTAGGTAGATGACAATATAAAACTTTTTAATTAGTTTCCTATACTCGGTGTACAGTAAAAACAATACCATCAATAATAATAAGCTTGTTGGAGAAATTCTTCAGTTATAGCCTTTCAGTATTCTTTACATTACACCTACCTTCTTTTTAGCATTTATTACCATTACTAGTAAATCAGTGAGATAATTTTGTTACATGACCTTTAGATGTTTATTCTTTTCTACCGACTTTACATCACATTCCTTCTGCTGTACATTACATGTGCACGTATCTTGATAAGTAGAAAAATGACATAAATGAAAGTAGTGATAATAATGTTGTTTAATTGATGTGGTTTACAATTTTGGATTAGTTTTTAGACAAATCAACATAAATTACATTCTGGACAACAACAGAATTAGTAAATGATGAAATATGAAGTAACATATTTTAAATAGCTAACTAATAGACATAAATTTTGTCGATACGAAAGTCACATAGTGGGTATTGTTATATTAAATTGCAGTCATTGTTCAAATGTACCAGCTATAAATAACTTTACTTTAAGACAGTTAATTCTTATTCTTGTATATTTTCTATCTTTCAGTCGAATGATAACCACATATGTAGGGTTCCCTATGAAGGTTTTATCCAGAAACCATTTCAAAGTTATTATAATTTCATAAACCAGCTGACTAACTGACAGATTGGTAATCAATGCCAGCAAATTTGGTTATGTTCACTCTTGAAAAGCCATGAAACGTTAGCTTCTTATTGCCGGATTCTAGGATATGTTAATTGATACTATGTTGCTATTAAGTCTACGTTAATTAACATTAATGTTAATTTGACTAGTAAGTAACTTTACATTCAACACGACCTTCCATATTTCTAAATGTCAGTTAAATCCAACGACCATGTCTTCAACCTCAGTATACATCTGAACATCATCCAAGAATAAAATTCAGACAATAGACATCTTCAAGTGAATAATAAGGCAAAAAACCATAGTAAACGTTTTGGTATTCGCTATAAAGATAATCAGAAAATAGTTCTTACCGCTATCTAAAAATTTATGAGACGAAAACCCTACAGCAACACATATAGCAGACACTCAATGTAGAACATACTCGATACAAATGCATAGCCTTTCGTATTTACATGTTTCATTCCATTTAGACAAGTGCATTTTAAAATAAGTCTCTGTGAAACTGGTACAAAATGAAAAAAAACAAGCAATATTTCATACGTCTTTTTGATGCTAGGAAGTGCTGATATTATTGGAACTAAAATGATTGGTCTATAAAGGTCAGAATGCTATCTTTCTGAATAACCATAAGGATCTTTTCACCACTGTACAAATGAAGGCACTTGTTTTTGGACGTCTGACTTTGAAGGAACTAAATTCAATGAAGTGCAGAATTATATTTACTGGAATGAAAAACCGCGATAAGATGAAATCTTTAATTTTTTCCAAAATATAATCCTCCCCTTTCCATGAGTGAAACACAAATTATATTTTTAGCATGATAACAATACGTTACTCACTATGGTTTGTTCAGATATGTACAAAATATTTTCTGTAGTCTAATCATAATGAAAATTGGAGTAATCAATTCTATATTTTCGGATACAGTAAAAAGTCTACATAAAATATACAATATTGTTCTTAATTACCACTTTCCCGTGTATCTAGTTTGTAAACATTCGAAACTCGTTGAAATATGTTTCGACTATGTTCATCTACTAACTGTATCAGTTTACCACCACTTCCTCAATTCATTATAAGTTTAATAAATGAATCGTTTCTCCAAAGAATCAATAAGAAAATACGCAAGCTATTACGATACCTCTATTTGTGTCTTAAAGTGTTTGGTATCACGGCAGTCTATGGGTGTTCAACAAAAACGAATGATACCATTTCACTATTTGCTTTGTTAAAACAAATCTGAGGTAGAAAAATGTATTCCAATAGTTGACCAGTTTTAAAACTGGCGTGCTGAAAGTTTGGGCGAAATCAATAAGTAATGGTTACTGAAACACTATCACATTTTTAAATTCATTACTTCCATTTCAAGTTATGGGAAGGTGATAAATTTATTCTTATTCTAGGTAAATAATTTTACCACGCCTATTTTTAGTAGTCTCGACACTTGAAGGGAGCATCCATAAACTACGGATCACCATTTATTAAGTGGCATAATCCATTACTTTTTATTGTTAGCAAAATCCAGTTTTAAATAACTTCCAATAAGAGAAATCTGATATTTTCTATATTATAACAAGTGTCAAGGGTTATTACTTTTACAAATCAACTATTTTCCTGTGCATGGACTGAGTCTTATGAAAACGTAGAAGCTAGGCAGATGCAATTTAGATTGCAGAGCTGTCCGACAGGAAGTTATTTTCAAATGGAGAAGACGAAATTATCTGAATAATTCACGTGGAAAAATATCGTAGTAACTACTTTCTAAATAGTTATTTTTTGAATGATCATGTAAGGACGCATACGATGCGCAAATAATTATAAATACTAAACCTGAGATATCTGACCTAACATAAAATACTCCAGGCTATTTGAGCAAAAGATGACTATCTCAGTAATTGAAAAGTGGTACAATTATGTGTAAGCAGTGAAACATGACAGAAAAGCGATTTCAGTAGAAAGTAGCAGAACATGGGGTAGTGAATGAGAATACAGGTGACCACTGTTAAATTTGATGCTACTAGAAACACACAGAGCCTCTGTATACGTCTGATGACCATTTCTAAAACAAATGCTACAGTTGGCACAAACATTAATTGTAAAAACACCTTATCTAGCAAGACCAGATCGACTAAGACGTTTTAAAATAAGGTCTTGTAGTACTGTCAGTTTTTACTAAAACTGGAAAATTTAATCCACTTCACTTCATATCATTTTTACTTAACTACCTTGATATTTTCGAGTTCACTGTTGCTGTATATTTTATCAAGATTCATATAGCTTTGTAGAAAACTTCCCGTTTTATTATATAAAAAAGTAAAGTGTTAGTTTAATGGGAGATGACATAATTGAGTGTATTAAGTAGTTAACGATAAGGTTCAAAAACCATGTTCTCTAACTATTAACAGCAGGACAAAAGAGCCGAGCTTGTAGATTTCTCCAGGTATTATTCAAATTAACTCAAAATTGAAGTTAAATAAATGACTTGTATTAAATCAGTCATGTGCAATAGGTCCCTTAAAAAAAAAGATTTTATTTCAGTAATAACTTCATTGTAAAAGTATCAAGTTCTCATGTAGACGATAATAGCCAATATCAAAGCGACACTGATATAATCTATTAGGTTAGGGTTTCTTAATGTTTATAATTCATCTTCTGTTCATTATTTACTAGAAAATAGCTAAACTGAATCCCAATATTATCCTGTAGGCTTATCTACCCTTGGCTTCAAAGTCACAATTTATAACAAAGACCTGAAAGTACTTATAGAAACAAGTTTCGAGTGAATGTTGGTTCGACACCTACAACCCTTTGGAAAAAAAAGATCGAAATTCAACAACGCGAAATTACTGAATAAATGGATTTCGCTAATAGAGTGACTTATTTACTTTTTACATTATGAAACTTCAGTACCTCAGATCAAGTATGTTTAGTTATCAATTAAAAAGCAAATTCGATCAAATATTTATTTCTGATATGATTAATTGTTTTTAACTTACCTCACGAAATTTAACCATAGCTTTAGCGATTTTAGTGTCTGGGGGAATCCAAGTAAAGTGTATCTCACGACGATAACATTTTAGAATAAATTGGCCTGGGAGTGAGTGACAGTAAAACGGTTTCACAACAAGCAATGGAGGTTTAGGGACTTCATCTTCAGGAAACTGGAAATTGTCTACATCTGTCCGGTTTAAATTCGTTAAGACTGTTGTTACGTTTGAAGTTGCTAATGTTGTTGTCAATAGTTCATGGTCCATTTTGTGTTTAAATTTTGTGATGAAGTTGTAAATCCTCAAAACTACTTTCCTTGTCCTGTAGAGTAATTAGAATTTCAGTGTGAATGGTATCCCAATGAGAATTAATACTAACAGAATTATTTTTTGGATGATTTTGTAAATAAACGTTTGGCACAATGGCTTTGGATACTAAATCGATGTGAATTCTTCAACTATACAGTTAAGTTTCAATGGTATGATAAACAAGTTGAAATCGATCTTGAAGATGAAAAGATTTCAGCATACTTTTCTGTGCAATTACAATCTAAAATAATTGGAAAAGTACATATTCATCTTTTTTTTATCTCAAGGAAAACAACTTAAACAGTGTTAAATATAATCATAATTATAATGTTCCCTTGGCAGCTCAAAACGTGATGCCCAAGAGTAATTGGATGAAGGTTACGTATACATAAGTGCATGTGGATAAGTACACGTATACAACAATAAATGAATAGATAAATTTTAACAATTTCAATATACGTCAGCACGCAGATTATTCTATCTCTTTGCCCAACTATAGAAGCACCGAATATACAGCATAACAAATGCTGTTTTAAGGTAACGGTTACTGGAATAAATAGAACAGACTTACAGAGATTGTGATAGGCTAGTTACATGTAACATGTGATTCATCTCCCTTGTAGGAAAATCACAATAGTGAATTTTAGTATTTCATTGTAGGTATCATGGTATGCTGAATGCGATATATGTGAACAGGAAATCTGTTGGTGTGTAAGTGTATATTCTTGCGTGCGTATGCACGAAAATTGACTTGCTTCAGGGCATATAAAGAAACCTATTAATATGTATACAAACATCTACCTATCTTACATAGTATTGAATGTCTTGGGCACACAGAACTTAGTGTTACAAACAGGTCGAATGATGATAATAAAGACTATGTATGTCTATTACATGTTTGTCTAATCTATTTGATATATTATTATGGGTTTAAAAACAAATAAGAGCAAATTTCCATAAGCATGGTTTAGTCAACAACATCTTATTTTGTGCTAACAAATGTTTCTTTGTTTTCTCGACTTTCATTCTCTTCCAAACCAGTGATTAGATTAAATTAGCTCCGACTGTTTCCAATTGCAGGAAACAATAATAACTGCCATTGATATATTCTAATATCTGAAATCAATTTAATGTCCAGGAATTCCGTTTAGTATTGAAAAGTTCACTGAATTAGTTATTCTGTTCCTCATTTTAGTTTCATCTCAGCTTGTTCTTGATATGATAAACTCACTAAAATCCTAAGAGTGTTTTTTAGTGAATGAACATGAGCTCAAATTTAGATCTACCACTCGTATTTACAATAGTGCTGTTTCGAACGTGTTGAGAGATCATTAAAATTGTGAATTATGCACAATACCCTAAAATTGACACACAAGTTATGAAAAAAGAAAGCAATTATTAATCTGATACACATCTATACACACATGGATGTTCTCTTATGAGTTTCATCATTTATTTATTGTAGCAAAAATCTTATTCTTCCAAGCTCTAACTGAAAAAGGATTAAATTAACTATATTCTACATTGTAGTCTGAAGTAAGCCAATATGACCACTTCTAGTTAGTGTGTCTGGAAATCTCAGTTTGGCTTCAGTAAGTCTGCGATAAAATTCACAGATAACCGTCGAAAACTAAGATACATGAGAAAATGCACATCTCATCAGGATTTAAAAACTTTGAATGATTTACTATTTTGAATCCCGAGGTTTTGAACGTATTTACATTCCGCATACTATGCTATGGACATAGGTACCATTGGATGTCAGGTCACTGATCTTGAGATCAAGCGTTCTCCGTGAGGCCGAAGGTCGTGGGTCCAGTTCTCAGTGTGGTCGTGAATGTCCACCTCTGAGAAGCCCTATACGAGGACAAAATATTTGTTAGGTGATTCCTGGTTTCCAGGAATATATATATTTTTCTAAAACATCTAACCAAAAATGTCATTTGCCAACTGTTAATGATTTATATTACTATAATCTTAAAACAAATTTTTGTAAGTAGATAAACTGTGAATCGATATGATGAAACTTTCGTTTTCTTTTCAGGTTAATAACGTATTTGGTTTTAAAAGAATTAGCGACTTTCCTTGTAAAATAGGATACAAAACTATGACTTCAAATGAATTGATAGGATGTATTATAATAATGGATAGGAACAGGTTTTAATTGTTAGTTGAAATCATTAATTGATAGGCATTTATTCACTGGAATGAAATCAACTGGTAAATATAATGGGGGTATTAGGATCCTGCCTTTACTTTGATCTTGTTTATACCATAGTGATCCGTCAAGAAAATCCACTGTTTGATCGTTAAGAAAGTGTATAATTTGGGATCGGTTCTATTCATATTTTAGGCCAAAAACAATTTGAACTATGGGGTTTATTAACGGTTAGAATTAAAAGCGTTTAACATCATATTTAGGATTCAATGAATATCTACCAATACTATGTCTAAATTATACAAAACTGTATTGATAGGACATAAAAAACTACTCAAAAGAGATTATAGTAGTGAATTTCTCATAATTATTAAAACCTTTTTTGTCATAATATCACACATATCAGTAACTGACAATGATTAGAAGTCATTTACCTTTGATCAAGTTCCATTTTAAAAGCCAGATTTTTCTATCGTTATAGACATCCCTTGGGATAAATAAAAAGTAATATATTTGTAATATCCTAATGAGTAGAAAAATTAAACTTTCTGACGTTTCTTGACTCAGTGCGATACACTTCTTCAAAGAATAAATAACCAAATCAAAACTAATCCAAGTTTAAATAGTACAAAGGGTAAACGTAAGAATATTATGTGCGATCGATCAAAAAACAGGTCTGAACAAGTCATTGAGATATTACAAATACATTATTTCATTTATAACAATCTACTCAATGCTCAATTTATTCGAAATTATCAAGTCAAATCTTGGTAATGCTACATACAAATCCCTTGGAATGTTTGTCAAGTTAATTAATTTTAGTTAAATAACTTCTAAGCAGTATTATGTATCTGCAAAATTAGTTTAATTCTTCGCAGTTAGAAAACCAACATCATACTGGGTGGTTGAATAAGCGTTAGTCCCTTCCAGAATAAAACTCACTGACATTCAGATATTCGAGCTAAACTATATTAACTAACTTTGTATGGCAGTTAAAGTATGGACATATGAGTTAAGTCCATGGCATACATGGTAGAGAAAAAAAGTTGGATTTAAACAAAATATAAACGGTGCAAAGACCATCTGGAAGCGCTTAATAGAAAGATTTTGTCGTTCATAATTGTTTATGATCACATGGACTATTACCGTACTTTCGATTTACGCTTGTCTTTATTCATTTGTTATACTAAAAGACAAGAAGAGAGAAGAAATGTTTCTCCTTAATTCGTTCAAAATCAGGGCTCTACACTAATATATATGTGAGAGGCTTATGCTTCTCCACGATGGCTAACAGGCATATGTAAGAAAGTCTATATCAATTTTCATAATCAGTTAATGATTACAAGTAGTTGCATAAGACTAAGAATAGGAATTGAAATTGGATGTAAATATGATGATAAGTAACAGGTAAAATTTGAAATCAGAATTTTGACAAAATCAAAGTTCGAGAAAGTTTAAAAGAAGCGAAAGTAAGGCTTTGAATCATGTAATAGTATGTAAGTAAATGGAAAGGGTCGATTCGGAAGTTGTATAAACTAGTTTTCTGTATGCAAACGTGACGTTTTTTAATGTGTATTCTTGTGGCCCCTGACTTATGTGAGAGTCGGATTCTGAGAACAAAGGATAAATTTCATTGCAATTTTATCTTCCTGTGAAAGATATTATAAAGCTTGAGTAAATGTGTCTTGTTATGTAGACATAAGCAGTCACGTTTTACGCTAAAACTATCTAACTTCTGATGTTTTCCAACTGGCAGTAAATTCTGAGGCTGAACAGCGGTTATCATGTAATAGCTTAGTTGTTCACATTTCATTTTAAACTTGGCTGTAACTGACTGAGTTCCATATTTCACCACTAAATAAGTACACGAATTCATTTGTTTAATGCTCGGTGGATCTAAAAATCACTAAGACATGCTTCAATGTAACAAGAAATTTATTAAGAATCCATTGTTTATTATGTGTTCTATTATTAAGCACACCGGAATTTATTGTGAATCTCTCACGAGTGAATACCAAATATCAAATATTCTAGAGGTTAATCTGTTTGCTTAATTTGTACTAAGTCAAATCCAACTTATACTAAATTTATTCCATAATGCATCATTCATCTTTAGATTTTGAAACTGAGATCAGATTCCGACAATAATTCCCATACAGTTGTTAATGAGGTTCCTATTACAACATAAGTAAATAGACAATTGATTTGCTTTAAAAGATAGCCTAGTGTTTCACATTTTATTTTTACTGTGATTTGTTTAAAATCAAATGATGTTATCACCTGAGATTTGTTGTAACAGTCGACTTAACAAAATAGTTTGACTGTGTAATTTTTACCCGTAAATAATACTGACCTAGACATCAAGTCTCATCGTCAAATTGCCGTAATGTTAATTTGATCGATAACATTAATTAAAAATACTAATGGCTTAACAGCATGGTGCCGTTTACTTTCCAGTGACCAATCAATGCATACGATAACTCTAAAACAAAGGTAGATGGTGTGAAAAATAATCATCCTAACCAACGTAAACTTAACACAAAATCATAGTTTATAATCCCCACGATCTATTTGTAATTATTCCGGTTCATGTTACCTTTTCCGACTACATCTTTGGAAAAATAAGTTTAAATTGAGTGGTAAATTTGGTTTGAAATTCTACCACTCAAATATGATGCGATTCGAAAAGTCCCGGGTGTGTACTAAAATAGAAGTTAGAAAATTTATTTTAGTCACCAAGGGTTTGTGAAGTCGACTGTTTTAAAAGTAGGTAAGTGACTGAGTAAACTAATATATAATG